GAATACGTTGCCGCCGGTAGTTGTTGCGCTCAAGTCTTATGGCTTAAGCAACAATTATTAGATTTTAACCTCAAATTAGAACGTATTCCCATTTTCTGTGACAATACAAGCGCCATTAATCTCATCAAAAATCCTGTATTACATTCTCGCACAAAACATATAGAAATTCGACACCATTTTCTTAGGGATCATGTAGAGAAAGGAGATGTCATCTTTGAACATGTTGACACTAAAAATCAACTAACTGATATTTTCATAAAGCCGCTAGCTACTGAACCTTTCTTTCATATCCGTCGAGAACTTGGCATTCTCGACATTTCGGATCGGGTGTCATAATTGCTTGTCTCGTCCTATTTCATTTACAATTATATTCATGTACTTCTAACAAGTTAAGTTTGTTGTAAGCACAAGTATATTTCTCTTCAAGCTATTCCGGTATAGAGGTGATGTTGTTCCATTTCTTTCTCTCTCTCTCTCTCTCTCTCTCTCTCTCTCTCTCTCTCTCTCTCTCTCTCTCTCTCTCTCTCTCTCTCTCTCTCTCAAAATCCTCATGATAAATAGTAGTATCGCATGCCTAAATGTTTCGTTATGTTTTGCTTATTATGACTTTATGTATCATCCTTGTTATCTATTATTCATGAATCATTATCCGTATTTTGTGTGAATATTGACTAATGCATGCTATTACCTATTCTGTTTTCTCTAAATGAACTAAATGTTGCTGAATTATTCTCTTTCTCTTTTTGATGTTGTCAAAGGGGGAGAAGAGAGTGTACCAAAGCCAAGAAGAACACATCAACCTTTAGCATAAGAGCGCAAAAGAAATGGGGAGTTTATGTTACTATGATATGAATATTGCATGTTGTTTTCATTGGTTTCGCACAGGTTGTCATCATCAAAAAGGGGGAGAATGTGAGGAAAAACCCTCATATAGCATGAAGTCTCGAGTTTCGATGATGTCAAACCTCAACCTTGGATGAATCGGAGTTATCGACTCAACCACCTCAAGAAAAATGCATTATTCCAAATATCATATCCTTCATATATCCATATAATCGATTATATTTCATACAATAAATGTGGAACAAAATTGGCCATGTCTAAAGGTATGAAAATCACAAAAATATGCATTTTTGATGTTTTGCAGGCTTTGAGTCGACCATAGGTCGACGCATAGATCAGAGTGAAAACATGTAGGTCAGCACAAGCAACCTATGGTCGACACATAGGACAGTGCAAAAACTTTATGGTCGACGCATGCAGTTGAGAGATTTCAAATTGCCTACATTTGCAGGCCATGCATCGACGCATGGTCCTGCTATGGTCGACCGTTCGCGCGTTCACACAGTTTTGAAGCCTTCCCACTTATTTTGAAAAGCTGTTATGACAGTTTGTTTTGGATTACTATATATAGACTTTTTATGTTCATTTCAAGACAACAATTGAGAATTTGAGTCAATTGTAACCAAACAAGAAAAGTGAAATAGGTGCCATCAAAAGTCATCAATCTTCATCTTCCACAACTCACAACACAACAAATACACACAATAATTTTTGGAGTGATTGTGATCTTGTTCAAGGTGATAAGGTCTGAAGCCATTGATAGGAAATTTGGTTCGGGGTGTTTTTGAAGGCAGGTTTTTCTTGAATAAAACCTTGAAGGTTTTGCCCTCCAAGATTCAGCGAATTTGGGGGTTTTCGGTACAGATCATCTCTATCTCTTCAGTTGAATGAAGGTAATTGAGAAGAGGAAGTCTTCATCAATTTAGTAGCGGATTCAGTGAAGCATTCAAGAGGGTTCTGGGTTCGATTGGTTTGTGTCTGAGATCAGCCGGGCCGAGGGTTTGAAGAACTGAAAGTTGTTCAACAAAGGGGCTAGAATCAGAGGTCTATTCACATTAATCGGAGGACTTGATTCGACTCGAATCAAGGGACAAGAAGCGAGAGCAACATCAACATCAAGAAGGCTTGTTGTATAATTTTGGTTATCAATTCTTGTGTACAAACTGTCAAACATTACAGGTGATATCTATAATATAAATCTCAATTCTATTTTTAGAATTGAGGGCAGACGTACCCCGAAGCGAGGACGACGGGGGAACTGCCTCAACAAATCTTTGTCTCCTTTATTTTTCAGCATTTTTATTTTGGCTCAAAAATAAGTGATTTTGTTGTATAAGTTGTTCTATCATAACTTGTGTTGATTTGAGTAAGTAATTACTATTGTTTTCAAAACTATTATGCAACAACATTGCACAAGGAATTTAAGGTTACCTACTCAAGTCAAAAACTAACTTGGAGTGCCTTGCACACCAAGTGTTTGATAAATTGCTTACACCAAAGTTTACTTAGCATTTGTGCATTTTTGGTGGGTTGTGTGAAACATTGGTACTAGTGTTACTAGAGTGATAGAATCATTTGATAGTGTGACTAGTGTGTTGAATCTATTATTTTCATTATCATATCTGTCGGCTAGACGCATATCCGATCTTGCAATAACGGTTCGTTTTAGACGTATTTTTCCAAGGCCGCTTCCGCATTTTGAAAAACCTTTTTAAACTAATTTTTAATTGGTAAGCTCCTACTCAATTTTTAATTGAGATCTATTCAACCCCCTTCTAGATCCGCGCCATCGTCTAACATAACTCACATTAAAAAAATGATTAGAATTTAAATATTATTTTATCTTATTTAATCGAAACAATAACTAGTAAGTCACTATTTTAATTGTAAAAATAAACATGATTGTTAACAACTATTTTCAAAAAACATAGTTATTATTTGAGTTTAAGTATTTTTAAATATCAATATCTTATTGATCATTTATAAATAATTTATAATAATATTTGTCAGAAAAACGACATACATTTTTAAATGTAAATATAAACTAGTTTTACAAGTCCAATACAACTTAGATATTTTGGTTATCTTTAAATTACAATTACATAGTGATCTTAAGTAGTTAATCATTTTAACCAAATATTTTTATTGTTATTTTTATTTTAGTATTAATCAATAATACCTTCAAGTAAGACTCTTTGTTTAAGTAGGCAACCAATAAATATTTATAATGACCTTTCAATCCAACAACAAATATACTCCAATTTGGATATTACCATAATACCATTCACCAAAGATGCCACATCTTGGACATTAGCACACTAAGGCAAAAATGTCAGTTTTTCCTCTTTTCTTCAAATTATTTATTACATATTGAGTCGATAAATCCTATATTCAATCCAAATTGTTTGGCTTCAATATTTTTTTATTGTTTGGGACAAACCAAACTAATCTAGTTAGGCTCCAAATTACTGGAGTAATACATTATTTCAAACACAAGAGCCTATATAAAAAATATATTTTTGTAAATATAGTCTTGAGACACTTGTATATGTTGAATTTATAAGTTTTACAACTTAGTTCAAAACTACTGAATTTTTAAAGTATTAAAAATATTATTTAATCAAAGTGATTTAAAAAATTCAAAACTATTTCATGTATAATGTTAGACAATTATTTCAAAGTACTGACATTTTTATACTTTAATATTTTTATGAATTATTGCGGTGATATAAATATTGTGACGAAATTGAAACAAGAGATCAGAGTGGCACAGTAGAAGCGTGGTGGGCCCATGGCGCAGCAAAAGCGTGGTGGGCCCATAACCCATAGGTCTCTGGATCGAAACGGATAGTGTCTCATTTTTCTATTTTTCTTCTGTTAACATGCTTTTTCTATTTTTCTTCTGTTAACATGTTTTTTCTATTTTTCTTCTCTTAACATTCTTTTTCTATTTTTCTTCTGTTAACATGCTTTTTCTATTTTTCTTTTGTTAACATGCTCTATGAAGAACCTTGCTTTGCCTGCAACAAAAAATACTTGTTTCACTTGTACTATATACTAACTTTTCTAGGAGTAGCTAACATATCATTCGAATGCTTACGTTGTATTACCTATTTTAATAGTACTGGCAAAATTCACCAGAGCTCTTTTTATTATTCACCAGTAAAATTCAAAAATAAAACTGAATAACAATTACAATCTAACATGATACACTGGTACTAGCCAGAAATCAGAATTCTAAATTACCAGGCAAGAATTTTATTCAATAAAAGAAAAGATAATTGTAATGGTTTAACTTATGTTTTATAGAGAGGACACTAGAGTCTAGAGCTTCTACATAATACATAATAACAAACGTTCCAACTCCTGCAAATTAATAGAATCACAAAAATTATCATTAAATCAAACTCGCTAGGCTACTTTACATATGTCCTCATATTCCACGGCTTTAAGCACCCTACCATCATAGGCACCTTTCTCTATCTGCACCTTAGCGTAAAATCGATATGTATCCACCCCGAGCAGCCTAGCAAGGGATCCGCGATAAGCCCCATTTACTATTTTTACACGTCCCCCAACCTATGGTATCACAGTTTCAAGCTCTTCCTGATCAACTCTGAGCACATGCTTGCTTTCTAGCATTTCAATTTCCCCTACATACTTGTCAATCACTTTCCTCACAACACCTTTTTGCTTGTAGTACCCTTTCTCTGCTAAGACTTTGCTCATAACCTTTACAACAATTCCCTCATGCAACCAATAATCCTTCCTGTTGATTTTTTCCTTTTTCCTCTCTTCCTCGCGGATCATTTCATCCAAAGTTGATTTTCCACCACCACTTTCTTTCCTCTTCAAATTGTTTACAGGATTCTTTTCCTCATATTTATCTTCATCAACCTCATCAAACGCCATCCTCGATGCCTCGCCTTTATCCTTGGCTATAGGTTTAGCAGACAACCCAAGAGAAAATCCTATCTTAATTCCATCTTCTGCATTTAGTTCCTTTGTAGTCTCTACCTGTGAAGGCTGATCGGACTCTGGATTAGATAGCTGCATCAATTGCTCAGCCCTTTCAATTTGTTTTTGTTCTCTTGTTTTTCTTCATCTACCAAATCTGCCTTGATTCGCTTATTCTTCATCTTCTCCTTGAACAGGGTTTATGAATCTCTATCTATGTATGTAATGAACCATCCCTTGGGTGTTTCTTCAACCTTACATTTTCCAGTTCGACCCAAGTACTTAACAAATTCAGTAAGTGTAGCCCACTCAGTGGAGTTCATATGAACATGGTTTCTATCATTTATATATTCATTATACACTACAGTCGCAGCCACATGGCTAAATCGATGGCTACGCTCCATGTGCTCAAGAAAAGTAGTCTCAAATTCTTTAGTATAGCCCTCAATTATGCGAGTTGGGTTTTGTCCAAAAATTTGCATTTGACGCTGGTGCCCTTCACTCATGCAATGGCATTTGAAACCATTCTCGTCACGACACTGCTTCTGGCACATATGGCAATACCACAGAAGCTTCTGCAGTCCCTTTGCTTTAATTCTATTGGCAATTGCCTTAGGTGTGAGAAATTTGTTTTTCCCCATTGACAATCTGGATGGACCATTTCAGATCAAACAAAATAATATCAGTAATCCTGCTGTCGCACCTCGAAAAATCACGGAGACATTTCGGAGAAACGACCCTCGCGCGAAAGGCGCGGAAATGCGGTTCGACAGAGTCGCCACCGAACTTTATTTTTCCCGAATAAACGGGAGAGGAAAATATCGAGAAAACCTCTTAAAGCAAAAAAGATAGGAACAGGGTTGTCGCAACCATGTTCCGGGTTCGGGAGTCGGTTACGTGAATGGAAGGTATTAGCACCCCTCACGTTTTTCGTACTCGACGGAAACCTCTTAAGGTATTTGTGGTGAGTGTTGTCTAGGTTTACTTGTTTTTCTTCTCGATAAAGGTGAATTGGTAGGATAAAAGGTTAAAGACGCTAAGGGGGAAAGGGGTGGTTAGAGGATAGGGTGCTCGCCAAGGATTGGGGCCCTTGTGCCTACGTATGCTGATTCGGACGATAATGAGAAATCAGAGCATCGTAGTTCGACTACGGGAAAGGTTGGGAATGTGTGGACGGAATAATGGAGGAAGATAGGAGCGTGCTCGCCAAGATCATCACAATCTTGTGCCTACGTATCTTATATTTAAGAATGAATAAAGAATCAGAGCGTCCGTAGTTCGTGGTAACAACCACAAAAAGATGAGGTTGAATGGGTTGGTAGTTTGAGAAAGAGACGAAAGAGTGACTGACAAGCAACCTAAGGGCGTGCCTCAAGAGCTTGCCACTCAAGAATTCAAGGAATGCGAGATTCCAAGAACTCAGTTCTTTCGGAAATTGACTGAATAAGTTGAAGATAAAGAGTTGGATGTTTTGAAATTGAAAGAATTAACTAATAACAACTCAAGGGCGCGCCTCGAGAGTTACTCATTCGAATATTCAAAGAATGCTAGATTCTAAGAATATTCCTCTTTCGTAAGTTTAAAAAACGTTTGTAGAAAGATTGAAACGAAAACGGAATGCGAGGCAAAAAGAGGTTGGTTTGAAGAAAGGGTTCGACGACGAGTCGAGGAATTGATTAGAAGATAGAACCGACTTGACGACGTGTCAAGGGTTAGATTGTGAGAAACGATATTGGTCCCTAAGGGTGCCTCCAATATCGAAACTACAATGAATTATGAAGTGTGTGCGAAATGTCGATGCTTGTGAATGCGTACGAGCACTTGACTTAGGGAAATGTTAGAAAATGATTGAGAAAGTCGAAATATTGAATTAATAATAACTCAAGGGCATGCCTCGAGAATTACTCATTCGAAGATTCAAAGAATGCTAGATTTCAAGAACCTCCTTCTTTCGAAGTTTGAATCGAGAGAGTGTCGAGAAAATGTTTTTGAAATAATTTGAATCGAAATGAGGGTATAAAGATAAATTGTGTGTAAGAGGAGAAATGACGATTATTTTGTAAATGAGACGTCGGCCTCACAACCAATCAATCGGGGTATTATCGAGATGCTAGATCTCGATGACACCTTTTTCATTCGAAAAATGTTTGGATGGACAATGGAAATATCACACGGAATGCTAGATTCCTATAATATTTCTTTGTCCAAAAGAGAATGCTAAAACGAAAAGCCGATCAACACATTATTTAAGGTGTACACCTCAATAATGGTCGTTCAAAAATGCTAGATTTTAAAGATTCAATAAAATGAATAAAAAAAGAAATGAAGAGAAAAAAAAACGAAATAGAAAATGGATTAGTCTCGAATAAATCATCATCTATCAATATTTTGACCGATAATAATTCTTAAAAATTGTCATTGACCAAAATGAACAAGAAATGAATAGAAATCGATAAAAATCGAAAATGAAAAAGTTAAAAAGAAAATGGTCTCGGGTTTGTTATTATTTGTCAATAATTTGACAAATTTATAACTTGGGGTATCGTCATCGACCGTGAATATGGATTAAATCGAAAGTGAAAGAGTAAATGAAGGTATAACCAACATTATTTGCCAAAAAAAGAAAACTCTTAGAAATACTATCATAATAATTAAAAGGAGGTATGCTCGTAAAATAAATGAGATTTAGAAAAATTATTTAAAAAAATGATTTTCAAAAGGAGTTTAATGTTGAAACTTTAACAAGATTAAAGAGGGGGGTGTTGAGATTAATAAGGGGTTGAAATTGAAAAGAGGAATCACTTGGGCCACAAACCCATCATCCCCACGAGGCAACATGAAGGGTGAAGAAAATAAGCCTACGGGCAACATATGGCTCGACTCAAAACCACATTCAGGGCAATGTTTTTTTTAAATAATAAAAAAAAAGAAAACTGAAAACACCCAAAAAGTTTCAACGATGCAATGTCCATGGTCAGCAGCCACCCTCAAGGACCAATTAATCCAAACAGATTAACACATGCCAAAGTCAGAAAAAGAAAACAAAACACTACTCAAAAAGACTGACTGTAAGGTCCTCTTCTTTCTCAAAACCAAAACAAAATACTAGCTATGAAACGGCAACAACATCGATCAAAACGCGGATGAAATCAGTTCAACCTTATTTCGTTCGTGCACCAAGTATCAATTCCATTTCTCAAGCTCCATTTCAATCTAAAGTTCGATTCTGCCCACTTGAAATTAGGTTGGGATCCGTTTTCATTCTCTCATCTTCTTCATTTCATTCTATGTTTCGATTCTGAATGGGTTTGCTATGGATTGTTGTTGGTTAAGGGTAAGGTGAATGAAGGTATGGTTGAGGTTTTCAGATGGGGTTGCGAAAATGGAGATGGGTTGATGTTTGAGAAGAAATGGGTTGCGATTGGGTTTTACAGAAGGTTTGGTTTGATGTAATGATTGAAGATCGGGGGATGTGTTGTTTGTAGCTGGGATTTTCAGTTTTGGTGTTGGGGTGAAGAGAAGAAGATGACAGGGTTGGTGAGGGTTTTAATTGTTGTTGATGAAGGAGGTATGAGAGTGGGTTATGGATTTGAGGATATGAAGGTTGAAGAAGGGTTTGTTTTAATGGCTGTTCTTGTTCGATAAAATGAGGAAGAAGGTGTTTTTTTTTTGTGATTTTTCAAAATGAAAACTATAACAGTTTAAGAGATGAGGATTTGGAATGGATGATGTTGTTTCAAGGAAGAGAAAATTGAGAGGATGACATGAAGGTCGAGTGATTGTTTATTGAAGTTTTTTCAGTTTTGCTAGAGAAAGGAAAGAAAGATCTATTTTTCTCAAATGATGATGTTTCGGTTCCTCCTTCCGAAGCCCCCTCGACTATGAAGGAAAGAGTGGTACTTGTAGGATAATTTTTAGAGGGTAGAATAGGAAATGAATCCAAATTTTGTTAGAGGTTAGTTTAGGAATTCTGATTGAACATTTGGAGGTAGTGATTCTGTTATGCTGAGTTGTAGAATTCTGTTGTGGCTATTACTGTCCTTTTCCTGCTAGTGGCTTGGTGTAAATGATCGTGGTTGCTTTTGCTGAGAGGTCCAAATGAATTGAGCAGCCACTTGTTTATTGAAGGTATCCCCTGTATCCAAGTGGTCCCCTGTACCTTTTTTCATATTTTGAATTTTCATTTTAAAAGTTGGGAGTTTTAATATTTATGAATATGGCTTGAAAGGTTAAGTGTCTTGGTTCGTGCAGGATTAGCCGGTGCACTAAAAATGGTGAAGTAACAGCTCATGGAAGGAAATGGTTCGTCTTGGTGAGTGCATTGCGGACCTGCTACGAACTCTCACAACTTTCTGCGTTGCTGATGTGCACAGTCTAGTGGGGTATGGCAGCTAAATTTTCCCCAAAATTGGTGTCGTTGCGGTTTTGGCGAAAGTTGGGGAAAACATTGCAAGCCTCTCTGGTGTGTACTCAATATGGTTTTTTCATAGAAATTTTGCGGTCGCTACGGCTGTTGGTGTTGTACGGATGAGATAGGAATCGAGCATTTTGCCATTTTGCCGCAAATTGATGTGTAACAGTATGCCGTACAGAGCCATTTTGAGTGAGTATCATAGAATTTCTTTTGGTCTTTCCTGGTGTGTATACGGTTTTTTCTATGCAGGTAAAAATAAGTTCATGGCTTGTAGCAGTTGATGGATTGTGGGGTAGTACGGTTTTGAGGTGGCTACATGCGTGATTTTTGTTGATTATTTGGAGGTGGCTGTATTGCATAACAACTTTTGGTTTTGCTGGTACAAGTATGCAGGTGTATTTCGCCGGTTTTCATGGTGTGTGGCGCGTTATACGATTTGAGCTGTTTGCATTTTTTGTGGGCAATGGATGTAAGCTGGTGTACGATTTGAGATGTGGGAGGCTTTTTCGTACAGGTTTTGTGTGCTGTTGAGAAATTGTTGGGTAGTACGGTTTTCTACGGGTTTATACGCTGTGTGAAAAGAGGAAAAATCGTACAACTCGGTTTGGGTGTGCCATGTACCAGCTTGTGGAGCTTGTGGATTTTTCTGTTTACCGTGTCCTTTTGTCTATTAAAATTAAATGGCTGAAATTGTAATCATGGGTCTACATTGTGGACTAATAATGATGTAAATGGAATTTGTGAAAGCAAATGGACTTGCTGCGAGTTATGTCTATGGTCATTTTGTAAAAAAGGTTGGCAAAGTTGAAAAACATACCATGGGCCCTTTATTTAAAATAGAACCTTCTTGTAGAATTTTGATGAATTACACTTTTTTTAGATCTTTTTGAATGGACTTTGGTAACTTGAATCTTGGTCTTGGATTTGACAATTGTAATACCTGATTTTGTGTGATTTGGGCATTGGCACCTTTGAATACTATTACTCATGCCCATAATTGCTATGAAACTCTTAAACCCAAGAATCCAATCAAAAATAGACTTCGCACAAATTTGGATTCTTAATAAGAAGCACGCATTCAAGTTTTGTTGAACCAACAACTATCATTCTAAACATTCTTAACCAGAAATATAAACATGCCTTGCCAATACAAGTTATGCGTGTAACTGAATTAATTCTGTTTTGACCAAAGTCAAGTCAAAATCTATTGAATCTCCACCACACTTG